CCGTGGCGCGCTCAGGCATGGTCAGTTGGCCATGTCAGCCACCGCGCCCATTTCCCACTCCTGTCTGCTGACCGGCTAGGACAGCGGCTGGAGTGTGGGGATGGGAAGGGGGTGAGGTCGACGACACAGCGCACTTTCTGCTCACTATAAACAATCTGACGCGCTTGAAGCTATTACGGTGCGCTAAAAGCCGTTGCCAACTGACGGAGTAACTCGGACCTCCTTCTTGACTGGAGACGGTCTGAGAGTTAGGCTGCAATGGCTCCTTATTAATGTGGCATTTATGGCACTCCCACTACATTATGGGATCCGATCCAGGCGTTGGCGGCACGCCCAGGTGCGGCCTCGGTCGGGCCAGCCTCCAAATCTCTTTGTGTTGGTCAAAATCCTGGTTATTGTTTTGTGGAGCACGGGGTGTGGTAGAACTCCAAGGTGAGGATCCATCCGAGCCATCCACCTGCGGCCTCCCTCATCTCCGGTCTTCTTGACTCTGTCTTGACACCGAGCTCAGTTAACTGCTTTTGATCAACACGCAACCTTTTTTCTGACCAATTGGCGGTCCTTCTTACCTTGACAGGACAGTTTCCCGAACTTCGAATGAAAGCACAATTTCATGCAACCAACGCCTGTAAAGCGGACCCTCTAAACATCCAACAGAACGTTCAAAATTTGGTTGACGATAAAAAAATGACTTTTTAGGACATAGTCTAACAGAAAACGCGACAAATCCCATCACATGAGCTCTTGATTAATGAGAAAATTTAAGGTGCATGGGTTTGATAGTCATTTTACTGGCACCCCTTGAGGATTTTCCATAAGCCAGGGAACATTAAACACTTGAGTTGTGTAAAATGGCTTCGTTAATCTTATATTTTATGCAGAGTTTTGTTATTGTCAAATTAAAAGTAGCGCCGTATGTTACCTGACAGATGCACGCAAATCAAGCTGGATAAAAGATAGAAAATGTAAATCCTTCTATTTTGGCTTTTTGTTTTAAATGGAGATGAATTCCATTTGGAACAAATTTATGAAAAAACAGTATTTTAATAGAACACCTTGTTAAGTGAAAAAGGGATATCACGGCACAGAAACTGTTCCAATACACAGAAAACCGTTGCTGCGGCAATTTTCACATAAAGAGCAAATTGCTCAAACCCGCTTCGTCCGTTTGGGCTGCATACCGCATATGGTTAAAGCGTTGGATGCAATTAAGCCGCTCTTTGCTGTCGCGGATTTGAATCACACCCAGGCGCCGAGTTGTTCATAGTCGGATCAAAGTAAGTGTTTTCGTATAATAACATGTAGTTACTTTTTACTCAACTCCATACCACCTAACACAATTTTTTCGTTTATAACTAGATGCAGCAGCGATCGCGAAAAAATTTATCCTCGGTTGATTTACAAATGCCTGAAGAAAAAAAACATTGGTTGTCTGATGAAAAATGCTCTCGTTTTTTCGGCCTTTGAGAGCAACTTAAATTAACCACTGACATCTTCTTTCTTACTTCCTCAGCCATTGTTTCAGCATGTTTATGATCCATGATGCATCCTAAGAGCCAAAATTCTTGGCCTATAATTTTTTTGACAATCCGTTGCTCATGAAATGGTTGCTACTTCTTATTATGTAAACGGTCTTTTTAACAGCAGCAAAACGGTATAGCTGATTTTTTAAACCTTTCCAAATAATATTATGACTAAGTGTGCTAAAAAGAGGACGCCCTGGTACATTTTCAGAAGGCTAAATTCAACATTGGCTCTGCAGGTGTTTTTAATTCGACCGCACTTCCATGCAAACAGTCAGCCTCCTTGTCAGCTTAAAGTCAGACTAACCTCATCGGCAGTCATACTGTTGGTTAAACGGAGGGTTGCAAAGCCAGTGCTGTTTTAAAAGTCGTTTATTTTTAAGATTAACTGGAACTGGCAACTTTGACAATATGTCAAGACGTCAATTACAAAGACAGTTTGTGCGAAAGTGTACATTCCATTCTGCGCGGCTTTTGCATACGTACATATGCTGTATTTTTTTCCGTCTTTCCTGACTTTTTTCAAGGATTCCAGCGGATAGCACAAAACCAATCTATTTGCATAGCAAAAAATGGTGACGTATGTCATGGCAGTCAAGCTGCCTTCCTGGTGTCCGCGATAGTGGTTGGGGGAGTGAAATTATTTTGAAATCCCCACTCCTCACTGGGCAACCAACTCTAACTAACAGCCCACTTGAGACCACCCTTCTGGATGTCACCCTGCGTTTCTGAGGAACCCCGACGTTGACGATATGACGGGATCTAGCAAGCCGAGTCAGCTTCTGGCCCAGCACACTTGTTGTCGTTATGATAACATCCTTAGACGAGACCACCCGGTGCAGAAGGTAAGAAAACACATAGAAACTCTGGGAGTTAACTCTACAGTTGCGTTAAACAGAAACATTGCTATCGTTACACCGATCCCCAAGAAGGAGATATTTCAGTTGGCATGTACTACCATAAAATAACTTCTCCGTAACAGTGTTTCCAAATTGTTTTTGTTTATATACCTAGAGCCTGCGACTTTAACGACAAGAGATAATTGATGTGGCAACAGACCGGGGCGGGATGTGTTGGCTTGCATTTCACATTTCGAGAAAACTTCGACTACCTCAACTGTTAACATCGACTCGCTGTCGTACTTCTTAAGGATCCTGTCATTGTAGGTACTTTTTTCCATGGGGATTCCCTGTCGCATGAAGGTCTTCCGCGGATTCATCTTGATTATTAAAACTGCTACCCGGAGGATGGGTGCTATGAACGACGTACAGTAGAAATTCCTCAATGGCATATCCGGAGACCGCTGGGGCTGTAATTTTAGCTACCTGGCGGAATGCATTATTTTATACGCGCCAAACAAACAAGTAGACGGTCTCTCGTGTGTTAAGGATCTTGACAACAGTAACGCATTTGTCAGGTCGAAAACGATTTTTGCAAACGTTGGGCTCCATGTCCCATATAATTACGTAATTGGCTAAATAAGGCGTGAAAATCCGTTTATCCAAGAGCGTGTCGATTCGTCCGGGGAATGTGGTCGCAGCTCTCTTCTCGGCCAAAGCAAACCATAAGACGCTTTGAGTAGTGTACAACCTTGCCTCCGCGGTGCAACAAAAGAAATAGGATTTTGCTTGATTTCACTGACGGGGACTTCGTAGGACCAGAAGTCTTCTTAAGCTCACATGCTTCCCGGCCGATACTGACTAATAAAGTTACGTAGAAAGAAATGGCATAATCGTAAACATACAATGTTGTGTTTATAAAGTAAAATTTATTTCGTTGATTTAAGTTGCTCTTTTGTTTGTTCTGGACTGCCTAAGGTTTCAGATTGGCTTGAAATATCACTTGATAATTCATGACTTCCAATGTATTTTCGGATCGTCCATAAAGACAGATGCTACAACATGTATCTGTAAAAACTTTATAATAAAAATAATATAATAATATACTTCATGAGAGCGTTTGCCGGCGTAGCGGAATTTCGGGCGTTCTTTTTATGTAAAATGTCGTTTGGATTAAATTTGAAGACTCACTTAATTAAGAAACTTTATCGTCGAACAAAATGGCCGTCTACAAAACAAATTAGCAATTAATATGCCTTAAATTAATAAAAAAACTTTTTCTAATAAGTTGCATCTTGCCTTAATACTGCACTCCGTTCACGGATCTCTGTTTAATTTGTGTTTTTGCCTGGTGAGACCGAGGAAAAATTAACACCGCTGACCTTTTTTGCATTCGTAAACAATACGTGCTTTTTACTACAAACGCAAGAACATGCATTTGTATTTATACGGCAGTCATTCGAATCAGTTTTTCTCGATCTTAGACTCTGTTCTATGGTTATCGATGCGCGGCTTAGTCCCCATATAAATAGTAATGTTTTGCTGAAACTGTTAGTATCCAGCCAGTTCCACTTCTGAATTAGGTATGTGCAGAAGCTCGAATCTACGACAAGTAATGTTTCATATGCTCGAAACTAGAAATTATCATTCGATTGTGGTCAGTTCCTTAACAATAAGCAGGATTTTCAAATAGCAAGGACTGTCTCTGTGCGTGCTTATTGAACTTCCTGACACCAAATCGCACAGGTGTGCTAATACGACTGCTAAAATAGATAAAAGATCCGGTTCTCTTAAAATAATCTTTGCATTATCAAGTTAATTGCCGTGGTCAGCATCGGGCAGAAAATCCGTTGTAAAGCCCAACAAACTCTGTTAAATACCACTTCTGAGAGTAACCTACTCTCCTTCCAACGAAAAAGACGCCTTTATGCACCACCGAAGTCTGGGACAAGCATTTACATAGGAACTTGTCCAAATGTACCGCAACGTCCATTTTTGCTCAAACTGACAAAATTACGCGAACACGATCTCGGCACAAGAAAAAGAACATTTCCTTGAAGGGTCTGGGTGAACAAGCAAAATGCGCAATGTTTAAGAGGTCCAAAAATTGTCAGTTTAATTTGCGCTTTCAGGTCTCATGAGATAGGCTACGTACTCTTGCTCAGACTTAACTGGTAAAATGCTGAGCGGCACAACGTAGTCTGTCCTAGTCCGACAGAAAATGATGAACGAAATGAGGATTAGGTAAGCTATTCGTACA